TCAATATCCGGAGCCCATTGCAATTCCATCTCTAATGTCTTACTTTTACTTAATTGGGCCCTTGCATTCGAGGTCGAATGCTAAGTATCAAATAATCGTGTTAATAACATACTAGAAGAAGAAATTATTGCGCCCGAACCAACCGAATAAGAAGAGAACAAACCGTATATAAACCATTTTTCCGACGACCTTTGCGATATTTGAATGTAAAATCAAAAGAAATCCGCACAAAGAAAGCCACACAACTCGTATTTGTCTAATGTGTGTGTGTGCTCACGTTTGTGCAGCTCTTCGTTTGCTGTGGTAGATTATTTCCTTCCTTCTTTTTAAGGTTGTTTTTTTTTTATTCCATTCCAGCCACGTTACCATTCAATTACAATTATGAATGGAGAGATCACACATTTTGACTCGCTTCTCTTGAGTGAAAGAGAAAGAAAGGATGTTAATCCTTATAAGTCAAAAATTAATGGGGCATGATGAAATAAAAATAATAGCAGGCATTCAAAAGGAATGGAAGAGGGAGAGAGAGAGTGAGAGTGGAAATAAAAAACAACGAGACATGAAACGAAAAAGGAATCGGTCGAAATTGATCTTTTACCTTGTAGGTCGCTGTACAAACTGTACAGTTTATGGATATAGGCGACTTGTTCGGGCTTCCGTGTTTACCTTTTTCAATGTATGCTCTTTTCACTGCCGCAAATTTATTCGCGCATCCATTTCAAAATAAGAAAAACCCTTTTTTATTTATCACCGCTTCACACGTCAATATTTCGTTTTGTTTGTTTTGTTTGCGGTTACATGCCCAATCTAACATTGTCTTTGGAACACTATGGCTTTGTGGTATTTTTTTTGTCTTTTCGTTCCTTCCATGGATAATGCCGTCTTTTTCCAACAATCAACGCATGATTATTGCTTCTGCAAAACGACTGCTTTTATCTTTTTCTTTCAGGTTCGCCAATCAGGTTACGTGAAATAAGTAGCATACATTGAATCTAGGATTGAATTGAATATTTTTTTCATATCACATTATAAACAATTCGATTCAATTGGAATTTCTTACGAAATTTTTTATTCAATTTCATCGACGAATTTCAACAATTTTGGCATTTGGTGCATTAAAACAAACAAAATCGAACGATGGTTCTGGTCGAACTCGAATTGATGTTTTGATGGACCAGTACAAAAGCGGATAACACGAGAAAATTATTTAAAAAATCAAATTCGAAGTAGCGAAAAAAATATTTATTTCAATTCGAAGTTGAAAATTTCAACTTGAAATAGAAAGAATGAAAGAATCGACGTCTTCTAGAAGCTAAAAAAAGAGAAAATGAAACCAGAAACCGTAAGCAAAGAGAAAAAGAATTTTGAAAATGAATTGAAAATCTTTGAACTCTGAATAAAGGCACCGATTAAAATTGCAGTGCAAACAGTTTAACATTCAAAAACTCTGTCTCATTGAGTATTGACCAAATATTCAAAAACTCTCCACAGTTCTCATTTATGGAGAAATTCGAATTCAAAGCATTGTGCAGTATGAGCTTTAAGTTTGTGCCGTTTGACGTTTTCCAAATACCTGCACACTGACACTTCACTCTGATTGCTGGAGCATACAAAATAACAAGAAAAACAACAGTGTGATTAAAATCTAGATACAGCCAATTCAAATCACCAAATTTATACAAAATCTATGTAATATAGCAATATTATTTCATTTACTTTACTTGGAATCATTTGAGTGGTTTTAATTGATCAAATTGTGCGTGTATCATTCCAGACAAAGATGTTTCGCTTATCAGGTCTACCACAAATTGATGCAGCTGAAGAGAAGAGACGTGTGCGGGAAAATGTAAAATCCAACATATTCTCCTTCGTTTTACTCTGTGCAGCCATTCGCATTGGTAAGCAATCTATTTCGAAAACACCGAATCATATGTCATAACATAAATTTTTTGAAGAAAAAAAAAATGTGCGAACTACTTTGAGGTTATCGGAGTGAAACATTAGCATCTATTGAATAGTAAGATTCGGTGTCGCCATCTATAAAACTATAGAAAAACACACAAAGTCTACCATTACCGATAATATTTCAATTTATGTTTGCTCACATCAATATTTCATCTGTGATTTTAATCAAATTTTTTTCCTGCTCTTTTTCTCTTTACAGCGCCATTCGTCCTCTCGAAAATCGCTCAACAACGACTATAAAACCCGATGTACATTTAAACAATATCAATAGCAACCAAATCATGTTATCGCCATGAAACTCTAGAGAACAAAATAAACGATTAAGACTTACATTTTAAAAGACCACTTGCTTTTTTTCTTCTTCTTTCAATTGAAAATCTTCTTTTTCTTCAATTGAAAACCAATTCGATTTAACGAGAGAGGATGCGGATGAAGAAAAATTCCAAAGCTAAAAAATGGGTTTTATCAGAGAACGAAATTGGCTTCTGTTTTGTTTTTTTTTTCCTTCAATTTGTTTTGTTGGAACAAGCTGATAGAAAAGTTATGCTATTTTATACGAATATTCCTTACCTAAAAGTTCATCTGGAGAAAACGCACATGTTCATGAAAAAAGACAAATTCTAAAAGAAAATACCAAATAGTTTTTTTTTTGTGTTCCGTTGTTTTTTATTTTGGTTTTAGTTATGCTATTACGTAAAGTAAATTACGTGGAACGCGATTTTTCTTTCATTCGGATATCTTCAAATAATTGTTCTACATCCAAAACAAAACAAAAAATACTATGGGTTACGTGGATATTGGGTAGGTAAAACTACTCGACAACATCTGAGGATGTTTGTTTCTTCTATTTGTATTTCAAATGAATCGCTTAAAAAAATATGTTTGCGTTGTTTTTTTTATCTCGATTTGCAATGTTTTTTTTCTTCTCTCTTTGTGTGTGTGTGGGGGGGTAATTTTATTCAGTTAAATAAGCATCAAGAAAAATTGGAAATTTCTCTTGATTCAAAACTAAGTTAACACGAAAATTTGGTTGAAAGTGTGTATTAAAGCGATTATTTGTTGTGATTCGCTTCCCATGAACACAAAGAAACAAGAATTTGAAATGAAAATTTTGTTTCCCCCAAAATAGTTCGTGTGTGTATTTATTATACTTCTCGAAGCATGTAGTTGGGTTATTCTCTTGATTGGTGTAAATAAAGGCATTCGAGCTCCGCAAATATTCAGTGCATGAATATTTCATAAAAAAAAATCAACGAAGAAAACAAAAATTTAAACGACTGAGCCGAATAAAATTGGCCGTGCGAATTACAAACAAAAATTGATACGATTATTGCATCCGATGTGAAAAGAGACAAATGAAACAAAAATTTAACAAAAAAAGAGAAGAATATGATATAATATAATATATTCGAGCAATTGAAAAATCCAAGGAGGACATTGAAAAGCCAATCGATTGAAATGATGATGATTACATTCAAGGAGGTTCATTTAAATCATATGTCATGAGATTTACAACACAAATTGGAAAAAACAACACTTTTGATATGATACACACTGGTTTTTGAAGTTCCAACAGTGAAAAAAAGACATGGAAACGGAAAAGGAACTCTATAACAGCAGACTAAACGAAACGAAAAAAAAACGGTACGGATTTAGCTATTAAAGACTTAAAGACATTATTCACGCGTTTTTGTAACGTCCCTACAGCCAAAAGCCAGAAGAAAAACATAGTCATTTTTTTCTGACCGTGTTTTTGATTAAATGAACACAAATCACTGCCTTGTACATATTAGATTTTTTTCTATGTTTTTTTTTTTAAGTTTTCGCTTCTAATGTAGTTTAATTTTATATAATATTCGGGTAAAGTGAAGCTCCGTATGATGCACTCGACGTCACGGCAGTTTTCGGTCATTGTCTATTTCGTGTTGTAGATTTTATTCATCTTTTTTATCGTTTATGCGATTTTTTTCTTTGCCAGTTGATACTTTCTCTTCCGAAAAAAAATGGTTGAAATAAATGGTTGTGTATTTCCACATTATGACATAGAAAAAACGAAAAATACTTGGCATTGGAAAACATAACTTGCTTAATCGGGCAGTTGTAAAAAATGTGTTATGTGTGTGTATATTGGAAATGTGGAAATGTCAAAACTGCAATGCGCTTTATACGTGCGGCCTTGATAAAATCGTCCAATTGATAAAGCCCCTTTCGAAATAGTTGCAAATTCATTTGGGCTGAATTTCGACGATTCATCGGCAAATCAATCATACTGCATCAACTGATTTTCATTTGGGCACACAATTTTCTTTTCTCCATTTTCTAATTTTCTTTCGAGACATTTTTTTCTTCTTCTTTTTGTGTGCCATTGAGAAAGTATTCGATATAATTTCCTTATCATCTTCTAAAAGCACTCACATTTCATTGGAAAATCTACATAAGTCTTTAAAATGTCAACTGCATATTCAGTTTGGACACAAATTTCACTCATCAATCATCTTCATTAATGTGTTACATAAATGTATCATATAATATTTTCTAAGTCATATCTCGCTCTATTTTCGTTCTTTTCTTTGAACATTGTCGTGTTCAATTTACGGGCGATGTTTTCCAATTTATTTTTTTTTTTTGGTTTGGTTCAAAGAAACATAAGCGAAATATGTGTTTGTTTGTTTTTGTGTGTGTTTCGTTTTTAACTCTGAATCGAGTACAGTCCACGCATTTATTAAAAACAAATCCTTACGATTTTCTCATTTGAATTTTCGATTGTTAAATACTCTGTTTCTTTAAATATTTTTCAGCGCCGTTTGCGTGTTCCACCCATTTTGAATGTGGTGTTTATGGGATTTCCATGTTGCCATTTGCTATCGCCCAATGCAAAGGCTCATGCGTACGTTCTCTCTGCCACTTTCTCTTCAAAAAAAAAAGAAGAGAAAACGCTGTCACACTCTTGAAGAGAGTCTCTTCTTCTCCTCTCTAAAGTGTATTTCATGGGTTTAGTAAGAGTCCATTAAATATTTTTCCAGTTAATATCCATGTTTGTTTTATTACATTTTCTTTATTCGGTTCTTGATGTTTTGTTTGTTTTTTTTTTTAAATTAAAATTCAAACATACTTTGAACGATATATATGTAAAACTGGATGTAATCGGTCGGTATAGCTATTGTAATGCATAGATTTGCGTTTCCTTTGCTAAAACATAAAACAGATTACCGGCAGACGTTCTTTCTTTTTTTCTGTATTTTCGGAATGAATATGCTGCATTGCATTGGAAAAATGGCATTGCGTCCTGCAATCCATTCAGAGAAATAAACCAAAAAAAAGCTACCCGCCGGTAACCTTCTGCTCTCGGTTGTAGTTGTTTTTTTTTTGTTCACAAAACTGTGCTTTTTTGGCTGTTATATTTTTTTTCTTCTGCGTAATACAATCCAGATGTAGTCATAAATAAATGGTTACTTCTTTCGTCAGATTTTCATTTAAAAAGAAAACAATAAAAAAACCAAAACAATTATTCAGCAATTTGTGTATGTAAACTTGGAAAGTGATCGGACAACAAAATAATAATATATAATAGAGAAACAGAAAGGAAAAAATTCAGATGAAACTGATAGCTACGCATTTTACAAGGTGTTGCTGTTATTGTATGCTATTGCTGATATTATTCTTTGTTGTTTGATTTTATACAAATGACTTAATGCTAATAATTATTCAAATATTTGCATTGCTATGAGAGTTGGTTGTTTTTTTTTATTTCTGTGTTTCTTCTCTTTTTTTTCTGTTCATTTTAAATTGGTTGCTGGTATTTCGGTTTCAACTTGTATTGTAATGAATGTGTTGTTGTTTGCTGTTGCTGTTTTTAAATAGATTGATCATATTGTTTGACTATTTCTTCAAAAAATATAGGTCTTTTCCATTGAATACACACATTTTAACTATTTTTGTTTTATTTTTTCTGAGTTTTTGAAGACTTAATCATGAGTTGCATTTTGCCGAGTTTTTTTTTGTTCTTGTTTTATTTATTCCAGTTTTGCATGTGTTTTTTTTTAAATGTGAAAATTGGATAAATTCTATAAAAAAACATTCTATTCCATTGATGGAGATGATTGGATTGAGAATATTTTTTTATCACCCTGCTTTGCTCTCTATTTACTGCCTGGTTCATTGTCCGAAGACTGATTTTAATACAATTTCGTAAGATGTTAAATTATTACTATATTTCATTTCGCATCGATCTTCAAAATTCTTTTAGGTTCTTGGTTTCTCATTTCTTCATTTTTTTTTTGTTTATAATTTGATATTTTTTTTGTGTTTGGTTTTACATTGATTTTGCTGTTTTTTTTTTCTAGTTTCGTTATTATTATTTTTTCTTCTTTTTTTTTGTTGTTGTTGTTTATATTCAATTAATATGTTAAGACTGTTCGTCACGTCCCAAAAAATTGTTTTTGTTTGAATGAAAAGAAAAGAAAAGAAAAGAAAAAATTACATCGCCGTCTACTCATCTTCATCATCTTCTTCTTCTTCGGCCTCCTCCAAGTACGTTAGATAGGTGTTTACTTGGAATAGGGCCTTTCCTTTGCCGGGGTACACATCGCTTAAATCTTCTTTCCATCGCATGTACGACTCTTCTTCGATCACATTGTTGTCGTAAAATTCACTAAACCAACGCAATAGCATGCCTTTGGGGAAATTGTAGCTGTAGCAAAACACTTGCATCGCAAATATGGCGACCAGCTGCAAATCACCATTGCCGTTGAGGAATGCATTCAGTACGGGACAGTATTTTTTCAAGAGCGTTAATTCTTTGTCAATTAGCGATTTTTCCGGTATGACATTTGGATCAATTCCTTCAGCCAATGTTGTTTCCTGCACGCGAGATTGAAAAAAAAAGAAGTAAAATGGCGATTAATCATCAAATTCAGGGCGTTGAATCGATTACGTTGAATTGACTTGAATAATAATCGAAACAAAAGAATTAAATAAACAAAAGCAATTATTCGATTACACCGTGTAACAAATTTCAACTTTTTCTTCTGCACATGAGAAATTCCGATTGCTTGTTTTAGAGGACCAAAAACCAAGCACTTTTGCATCATTAGTTTGTTCGAAACCACGTCTAGACTTTTTTTTATCGACACATATAAGACAAATTTCAGGCCAAAATGAGCAAATCACAAACATGAGCTTCGGTTTGACAGGTAAAAGCAAATAATTTCTAAATTTTCTGCCTTTCAACATCTAGTATGATCCTTTACAAACATTTTGGATACTTACATGACCAAATCGAGTGATGTTTTCACATATTTCTGGCCGCATATTTGGTTGGTTCGAATTCGACTCTGAAAGAATCGACTTTTGGCCAAAAATCCTTAAGTATAGGCTTTTCAGGGATGGTCTCTTGGCGCAAAGTTATTTTTTCTCGAAAATATGGGAAGTCTACCCAGACAAAAACTCTCAAAATTGACTTTTCGAGGTACCTCCCGAACAAAAGTTACGTTTTTCATGCATTTTGCTATGAAAATAACATTTTTTGTTCGGGAGGTACCCCAAAAATACACTATTTGGATGAGTTTCTTAGTAAAAAATTAATTTTTTCGAGAAATATTGGGAATCTTCCCACACAGAATCTCTTATAAATGATTTTTGGGGTACCTCCCGAACAAAAAATGATATTTTCATAGCAAAATGCATTAAAAACGTAACTTTTGTTCAGAAGGTACCTCGAAAAGTCAATTTTGAGAGATTTGGTCTGGGTAGACTCCCCATATTTTCGAGAAAAAATAACTTTGCGCTAAGATACTATCCCTAAAAAGCCTATATTTAAGGATTTTTGGCCAAAAGTCGATTCTTTCAGAGTTGAATTCGAACCAACCAAATATGCGGCCAGAAATATGTGAAAACATCACTCGATTTGGTCATGTAAGTACCCAAAATGTTTGTAAAGGATCATACTAGTTGTTCAAAGGCAGAAAAGGTAGAAATCATTTGCCTTTACCTGTCAAATCGATGCTTATGTTTGTGATTTGCTCATTTTGACCTGAAATTTGTCTTATATTGTCGATAAAAAAAAATCTAGACGTGGTTTCGAACAAACTAATGATGCAAAGGTGCTTGGTTTTTGGTCCTCTAAAACAAGCAATCGGAATTTCTCATGTGCAGAAACATGTGTTGCACGGTGATTATTTCATAAGATATTCTTAGAATTCAAACTAAAACCCCAAAGTCGTAATTGCTAACAAACAATCGATTACATACCTGTGTGACGTATTTGAGAATGACGTTCATCAGTGCGGTTACAAAGCCCGGATCATTGTAGCAAACCGGTTCAACATTGTCTTTAATCCATTTGTACAATGATTGTGGATTTGGATCATTTTGAATTTGCTTCTGAAGTTCACCTTGCAATTTTAGTAACGGATACAGGAAACTTAAATTACGATCTTCGAGAATTTCGGCCATACGATCTTTAGTGCGATCCGCTTCGGGCAATGATGACATCAAATTCACTTTGCTCTCGTTGAAAATGTCGAGCAAGCCCTGTTTACCCAATGTCTTATGCAATTGTTGCAACACAAGCAAAAACAATGGATAATGAGCACCATTTTCTGTGTAATTTGCCACATCGGCCAATTTGCACAGTTTCACAATGACCGCACGGCTGAGCAACGATGCAACGAGTGTTGTGATACGTGGCACTGGACTATCATTCATGCCATTGATCAGTGATTTGAAGCTTTCCAACAGGGCGTTATTCTGGAGTTTCCCTTCTTTTCTGAGACAGGTCAAAAATTCAACGACACGATCGTACACAATGTCCGATTTGTCAATGATCTCATTTAGAATGGATGTCACCGAGTCACGCATAAACTTATCGGGAACTTTGAGCTCAAAGAATGCGGCCAACACATCGTCCATATTCTTTTCATTATCATCGGGCGATGTGACGGTCAACCATTCCTTAACAAATGTGAGTACACGTTTGAGAATCTCTTCTTTGTTTGGACCCTTGTCCTTCTTCTGTTGTTTGGGTTTCTCTTGCGATGCCGATTTGATAACCACTTGATCTTTGTTCAGAATATTGTTGGCCGATTGGGGTGATGGCACCAATGGTACTGGTGCCGCATTATCATTTGCCGACGTTTGATAGTTTGCATTCGGTGAATTTATATTGGTTGAATAGTTGTTGCCGCCGCCGCCGCCGCCACCGGTGCTGCCCGTCGTTTCGACCGATGATGCACTCGCTGGACGCGGTTGCTGGGATATCGGCAATTGGGCCGATTGTCGATTGGAATTCGTTGCTTTATAGAGTAAACTATTGATTTGCGGCCGGAACGTGTCAAATGTCTCAGACGATTGTTGTTGTTGTTGTTGCTGTTGCTGTTGTTGCTGTTGTTGTTGTTGTTGTTGTTGTTGTTGATTGGTTTGAGGCGAAATGACACTCTGTTTGAATCGTGGTGGCAACTGTTTCACCGCATTATTGTTGTTGTAATTGTTGTGCGGATGCGGACTGTTGTTATTGTGCTTATTATAACGATTATGATTGTTATAATGGTTGTGGTTATGATTTCCCTTTAAAGACGAAGCGGAAAAAGAAGAAGAAAAAAAAAACAAAATAAAATTGCAGAATTCATTTTGCGTTCAGTTAGGTGCAACGAAATTGAAAATTGAACAACGATCAAGTGCATCAATTATATATGGTTCAGTTAGTTCGTTTATGTGACATGTAATTTGAATATTTGCATATATGTTTATTGGCACATTCTAGCAATTCTCATATCTCATAATAGTCCCATCAAGAGATTGCCGAGAACATACAATTCGTCCGGATTTGGGCTTCTATCGCTGTATTTCGTTTCAAATGCAGTATATTCTTTAAACATTTCATTGAAAATCCGAAAAAATTTGTCGATTACTTACCATATTATTGCGTTCGCGATTGGGATTATGGCGGTATCCACCGGGGCCTCCACCACCCATAAGATCTCTGTATAAATTCAAATTGAATCGATTAGCAGGCTATATAAATGGGTGGAAAATGTGCTTAATCTTACCCCATTCGGTCATTATTTCTGTCCATATTTCGATCCGAATTACGATCGATGCCACGACCATTACCGCCGTCACGATGATCACGGTTATTGTAATTACCACCGACTGGCGAAGAATTGTACGATTGGTTCATATTGTAAATGTTATTCATGATGAGCGGTGAATTGTAGTTTGAATTCGGTTGATAGTTAAATTGTGTTTTACTCATCCAACTGTCACTGTCACGGTCAATGTTGCGCTGATCCCGTTTGCTGCACGCACGGACGCACGCACATACAAAAATAAGTTGTTGTTTTTTTCGTTATTAAAGCAAATTATCAGAATTACACACAAGAAAGAAACAGGCAAAAAGCAATGCATGTGAAATGGAGTAATGAAATTGATTAAATTACCTGGGTTCGAATGCATTGAACCGTGTGTCGTCATCTGGACGCAATTGCTGCATTGGCACCGGTGCCTCGGTATTTGCTGATTTCCGTGGTACCCAGCCATTGCGTCGCAATTCGATTAAGTCACGTAACATAAAACGTATACGCGGCGGATACTTCGCTGATTGGGAACATTGATCTATTCTTTCAAAGTATTGGTCCATCAAAGTTTTACTCTGTGCAAGTGGAAACGAAGGGAACAATTATTAGAAAAATCATGGAAACTCATTCGAATTCGTTTCAATTGAACCGAAAAATTCGCTGAACTAAGATCAAGAAAGAGAAAATGTGGACCGGGCCGTTGAGCATTACCTTTTCTGAGTCCACAATTTTTCCACATGTCCGAACGATTTGACTGAGGCATTCCATATTCTCGCAACGTTCTTTTTGCGTGATCTGGCTGGAGGTCGATAATAATTCCTTAATACACTTGTGCAATATTTTGTCGTCCAACATATCGAGTGTGAAGAGTTCGGCAATGAATTTAACATTGCCGAGCATCTTTTGTTTGGCAATGTATTTACGTTCCTCCTCGTCGAGCGGATCATCGCGTAAGTTTTTGCCATTCTGTGTCGGTGATGTATTGCTATTGGCTGTGTCTGCAATTGGTGGTAGCGCATGGCAATCACTAGACCGATTTTCGAATTTGTCACGGCAAACCGACAACAATATACTCAAAAATGTACTATTATAACTTGGTTGGGTATCGGTTGGCTTTTTATTTTTATCGCTATTTTCAAAATTTTGAGCTTCGATCGATAGTCTTTTGCACAATTGTGCATACATACGCGAATATTTTAGCTCATCTAAAGCTTTTTGAAATATTAATAGTATAACACCTTTCAATATAACTTTTGAACCAAGCTCAATTTTCAGCAATTCATCACTTAATTTTTCAAAATTTTCCGGCGTAAGTTTGTTGAGAATACCGCGAACCTGACAAGAAAACAAAAACAAAGGAAAAAAAACATGACCGATTAATGATGTTCAAAGGTGCAAAGGGAAAATGCAATCAAAATGGTTGAAATATTAAGAAAGAGAGTCAACTAGGTGGTGGAATATTACCTTTCGGAAAATTTGATCATTTTTGGCCTCTTGTGTGAGTCCATGTTGTGGTCTCAATGAAGGAGGAATCCAGCGTCGAGATGCTGCGGGGGGGACTGGTGATTCCCTCCCCGTGACACGAGACTCTGGCCTCGTTTGCGTGATGGCTTCCGTCTTGTTTAGTAGCGGTATACCGCAATCAGACACGTGCTCCGTCAGTCTACTGAATGGAGCGTTTCTTCTATTTTATTTTAGTTTATTCACACTTTTTAGCGGCGTACAATCTGTAATCAAAACAAAGCAAACGGCAAATTGAGCATGGACAGAAAAATAAAACCAAACAAACAAACAAACCAATTTAATTTAATTACAAATTTGCTTTGTCATGTAAGCAATTGATTTATTTTCACTACAAATAAAACCGCAACCGATAATAAAATTCTTAATGATAATAGCAAATTGTCGTTGAATTTGTGTGGTGAAAATTGTGATGTGATGAAATCAAATCAACTTATTTGAGAGCTACGAACTCTGGTTGAAAGCCAAAAAGTCTGCCGTTCCGTGTGACTGAACTGTTTCAACTGAATTCAATGAATGCGATTCAAGCGTTGCATACTCATTCAAAGTCTAAACACTCGCAAAAATCTGACAAGTGTCCAGACGACGGATTTTATGAATACGCATACGCCGAGGAGTATAATAACGAAACGAGAAAAAAAGGGCAGCCACTGAACGATAGAGAGAATTTGCATATATACATATAATACGCACAAACCGAGTGAATAATCCGACAACGACGACAACGACGACGACGACAATGACTGAAATTCAAATTGCTCGATAAGTTGTTGAATTTTGGCCCGTCTCAAGTCTAGACGATATCAATATTATATTAAGAGTGCGAAGCGGCGTCACTCTCTTTCACTCATCCAGTTAGAGAGACTAAGGCCGATTCCTTTTTTTTCTCCACATTTTGCCATTTTTATACTACTCTAATTTATAAGGCATTTATACACACGATTCGTGTTGAGTATATAATGATAGGCCGTGTATACGGCATTTAATGCGTGTATGCATTGGTTGACGGTGAGTGTTCAAACTGTTTCTATGATATCAGCACATTCTTTTTATTTCGCGGTTGACGCTTGTCTGCATTTGAACATCGAACAAATTATGGCGGAATACGGTTCAAAGCCAAAATAATACCGTCATCATTATTTGTGGAACTGTGTGTATTGCTGTGTGAAAAACACACCGGCCAATGCAGTCGCTAATGTAACAAAAATTAACGTAATAAATTATTAATAAAATGCAATATCGCGGAAAAATGAGGTCACGCAAGAATATGAATGCAATTTGCAGCTGATGGTTATTTTATATGTATTCTTCATCACTCGTGTTTATACGGAGCCAATGCTAATTTGTTATTATATCTTAACTCGATTCATTTTAATCGCATCAATAATTGAGTAAAAAAAAATTGTTGTTAACCAAACCAATAATTTGAGTTTAACCAAAAAACGAAAAACCAAAATTTATGAAAACCATATAGCACTCAAAATGAACGGGTTTTTTTGTTTGTCGAAGCCACTAATTATATCAACGGGATACACATGGGCCAATGTGGAATTGACCGCAAAATATCGCGACATTGTCGTCAAAATTAATTTGCAAATGTGCCACTAATTCTCACCATGCACGCTCATGTGTGGTTTATCAATTTTTATACTTTTTTTCTTGGTGTTCAAGTGTAAAGGAGGAAAAATCAATGAATTAAAAAAAAATAACATGAAACGACTTGAGGTTTCAATGCTAACGAGAGGATTCTCTCTTCAAAACACACAATGGAAGTCTGATGCAAAGAATGAACTATGTTGCTTTACGATTTGAACTATAAATTAAGCCAATATGTTCTACAAGAACAAATGCTCTCTCTCTCTCTCTCTCTCTGTCTGTCTGTCTCTCACTCACTCGTTCTCTTGTTCTCTTCAATCCCAAATCACACTCATACAGTCTGCATGCCATTGACTTTTATTTCTTCTCAAGTACATATATATCGTATTCGGCGTTTTCGGTTATGCGTTTCGAAATGTGTGTTCACACACAATGGAATACCATTGACGCATATACACGAAAAGACGAGCCAGAGAGCGAGAGGGAGAGAGAGAGAAAAAACACAAAAAACCATTTTTAGATAGATATTCTCGAGTCGATGGCTATACACAGCACTACGCACTAAGCAGAGAGTGTCATGTTGTTTCGAGCCATGAAGAACATCCAGAGCAAAGGAGAGTAGCAAAAGCCAATGAACGTGTAATACGCAGCAGCCTGTACGGTTTTGATATTAAGGCACTGACGCTTCATAAACACATGCAAGCAATTCATGCGTCACACCCCATACAAATGGGTCAACGAACCCTCTGATTTTTGTACGTGTATGTGTGCTGCTGCTGCTGCTGCTCGCTGCTGACATTGGTGTGTTGCCGTGTGCTGTTGATGACCCAGCCTTTTAACTATTTTTGCCTATTATCTTCGGCTCGGACCATTTCTCTTCATTCTTTTTTTTTTCTTTTTCGTGGAAAAACCGCAAAATTATGACGAAACTTGTGAAAGCAAACGACAAATTCACGCGTGTGGGCTACCGACGACAAGTACATTGCAATTAGATGGCATCTAGTTTTTGGTTTTTTTTTTCTCGTGTGTTTGCCGGCTAAAATGCATGTACACAATTAGATTTTGCATCGATGTCAGAATGCACGCTTTGTGCCAACTGCGTTTAAGTCTTGCATGATTTTCCTCTTCGGCGGCGGCGTCGTTGTCACCGTCTAACGAGCTATCGATTGACACAGGTTTTTTTTTTTAGAAAAATAAGAAGCAAGTGACACGCTGTCACTGAAACATACAACATCGAGCAGAAACTGCAAAATGGTAAAGTCAAGCCAATGCATAAATAAAATTAAATATAAATCGGTATAATGCGCGGTATGTTCGACGCTCTTGAATTTTTAGTTGTGCGCGATTTACACCGGGATACTTTGTTTCATCTTCTTCTTTTTCTGTTCTCTCGGATGTGCTTGTCTCTCTCTCTCTCTCTCTCTCTCGCATACACACACACTCGCTCGCTCGCTCGATCTCACGTTTGCGACGCGATTCGTCTCGAATTTATTTTTTTCTTCTCACATTTCGTTACGTGTTTGTGTGTTGGAACCGTAAATACGTCTCTCGAACATTGAACTGACTGTAACTGTTATTGCGTTGTTAACGCGAGCGCGCGAGAGTCTCCTTTGTGCTTTTCGTTCATCATTCCTTTTATACACGTATGTGAAATGGGTATACTGTATTGATAGAGAGAACATTCGACGCCGTAGCACTAGACATGCTGCTTTTTTATGTACACACACACACACACACACAAACATTCCAAATTTATTGTGTCTCTAGGTTCAGACGGGATTTTTTCCGTCTATTTTCTTCTTCTTTTTCCCTTTTCAATGTTGGAAACAAGTCATTCCCTTTTTAGATTTTCAAACAGTTTTTGCAACGGAAAGAAATAATCCGAACACGGGAAAAGGCACGAAAAATGTGTTTTTTGGGCGAAAATCGTGGTTCGTGATTTAAAAAAATTCAGTTTGACATAACAGTTTTTTTAGCAGTTTGACATAGCAGTGTGTCAATAAAAACCGTAACAATCAGAGAATGAAAGAAAAATAGAAAGAGCCAAAGTCATTGACCTTGCACCTAAGAATTGGTCACAGTGTATGATTCGCTCATTTGTGTCATTCATTATCGCGTATTATGGATGGATTTTTTTTTCCGTTTGCTGTTCTTGCTCTTTTTACTCGGTTATTGCTGTTGTTTGGTTGGAAGAACAAAAGCAAGGTGAAAACACTCTGTTGCTTTTCTTGAGATTGTATTAGCTCACTCAGTGTTCAATCAACAATAAAATATTTCCATGAAATTGCTTCGAAAAGTGTTCCCAAGAAGCCAAGAGCCACACAGACGAAACAGACAAATACGAACCCTATACGAATGGCGGCGATTTCTGTTTCTGTTTACTTGTTAATTCATTCGCTATAATTTATTGCATCAGAAATGATTTGCGGCAGGCATCGTCGCCATTGTCGGATTATATTCAACAGCAACGACGCCTTAACAAAATGCGAACATTTTCGCAATGAAAAAAGAATAGCGTCGAGAAGGAGTGGGAGAGAGAGAGAGAGAGAAAGAGAAATTCTGTGAATGGGATATTCAAAAGAACATGTTCGTAAGCGGTCGCGTGTATTTGAAGGTCGGTCGTTGTTGTTGCGCTTTGCCCACCATCCCGAACCATTCGAATGCAGTATCATTTAATTTGCTATAAAATGCCTGTGTATATGCTCTGCTCTGCTCCAATACTCGTCTAGATGGGCTAGAGTGTGCCTTCGCATACGTCTATGCCATCATCTGATTTGCGGCTCAAAACCATTCCCGATGATCACCGCTCAGCGGTGTTAATAACCTCGATGGTTATTACACCATGTGATAATTTGGGCGTCGACATCGGCCAATCAATCGGTGTTAACCGAAAACATTCTCTATTTTTCGGCGTATTTTTTTCCCGTTACAATAAGCACTCATTTTGGTGGCACAAAAGTGGTCTTGATCTTGATATTGGTCCAGATTTAGAATTTTTTATTGAAATGCGCATTTCAGAACGAAACACATTCAATTGATGCGTAATATTATTTGACGTAAACATCACAATAATTGTTATTCGTTTAACACATTTCGACGTCAGTTCTTTTTTTTTTCTGTGTATGCTTTTGATGATATCGTTATTTGTTTAGCTGCTATCGATTCTGTCGATTTCACAATATTCTTCACATTCCCAAACGCAATCTGTCGAAACGACGCAAATTAAAACAAATGCCAAAACTGTTCGTGTTAAAAGTGCACAACAAATTTGCCAAGCAACAAAGTATGCACCGTTTTTTTTTCTTCATCATTTCAACTGCGAATGTGGATTACAGTAATGAAACAAGTGTTTTGCTTGAATATGAAAAGAAAAAAGAGGGTCAAGTTTTTGGTGTGACCTACATTTCGAACATTTTTCGTGTCGATTGTTTATCTTATTCTAGCGCAACTCAGTCGCTTTCCACCGCTACGCGCAACACAATCCATGTACTAGAACGAACAATTGTTGCCGAGATCCATGGCTGTGTACTTGTGTGAGTGTGTGTGCATTGAATGAAAAAAAGAGGTGTAAATGTACAAAATAATCTAGTGAAGCGATTCGCTTTCAGAG